GGGGCGGAAAAATGGCCACGGACCACGTGTCAGGGGCGGAAAAATGGCCGCGGACCACATGGAACGGGCGTAAAATGGCCACGGACCACGTGGCACGGGCAGAAAAATGGCCGCAGACCACATGGCACGGGCAGAAAAATGGCCGCAGATCCGGTTCGTAAGTCGAGGCAAGTTCGCAAGTCGAGGTAAATTTTTGGGGCTGGAGCTGGTCGTATCTCGAAAAATTCATAAGGAGGGGCATTCTTAACTAGAGGTACCACTGTAAATGTATTGATCAATGAAGTTCAGCTTCTTAGTACTATATTTTCTCAACTATACACCTTTAATTAATCTAGAAAACATGGAAAATGAAAACCAAATAGAACATACAATACAAGAGCAGCTTTTCTTTCTAAAACTGCTGCTTAATTATATAACTCCTGTCTTTTCCCATCCTATCCAAAAGTAAAAACAAACCAAAACTTTCACTCATTCAGTTCCTATGTCTTTATTACCTAGGTTTAGAGACAAGACAACTAAAAAACCCAAACAAAAGCTGATATGCATTGGGTAGAACTGATATTTTTAGCAAATGGACCTTATTTACATAACAAATAAATAAAAACAAATAATGTGAAAACTGAACATGCTATACAGTACAGATAAAGAACATAAAAACAGGCAAAGATTCACAGTGAATAACCCAAAGCCAAATGTTCCTGTGATGCCTTGGCAAATCCCCAGCATTTATATCATAAAACAATTTTCTACATACAAAAGCAACATTGGCAATGGCAATGAAGTTTATATTATACCTGCAATTTCAAAGTAAGCCTGTTGTTTTAGAGATTAATTTCTTCTGACATAAATTTTTACAACTGTCACAGAAACCTGTTCATATAATAGTTTAGAGCAGTGTTAAACTTTTTTCTCTCAGGACCTCTTCCCACTTTTAAAAATTATGGAGGACCCCAAAGAGCTTTTATTTGTAGAGGATATTTTTAATGATATTTACCATATTAAAAATTAAATCTGATGCATTCACTGCTACCTCTCACAATTGTCCAATGGGATTTTAATATTGTATTATTTTTCAACATAGGCTGTCAAATAATTCTGAGGGCCCCTAAGAGTCTTGGGGGATCCCCAGGAGTACTATGACCATACTATAAGAAACACTGGTTTAGAGGGTTCTCAAAATATGGGTTGTGCTCCCATGAACAACTGAGAAGGGAGATTCCCCCCCCCCCCAAACCAGACTGGGCTCACACAAGGAAAAGAGACACAGGCAAAACTAGCTCCTGGATTTGCTCCCCAGTTCATGTGTACAAGCAGGCTGCAGGTTTATCCAAGAAAAACAGGAGTGAGTTTGACAATGTAACCCTCTGCAAGAGAAAAGGCTTTCAAAATACACTCCGGCCTTTGCCTGGACAAGTTCCCAGTGGGCAGTTGTGGCACCTCAAAATTCGAAATATTTAGATTAACTGCAATAAACATTCCCTTAATAGAAACAGCACACTTATTTCTCGCCAAACCCTAACACAATCATTAACTTTACTCATGGAAGTCACGCAAGTCCATTTATCATATGAGCGGGTCACGATGCCGAGAACGGGATAGGAATGGTGGTTACTTTTTTTTTTAAGGCTTTGGTGCTCATTTCTGCTCCGTCGACTCGACGGCTGCTTCAATCCCGGCGACGCTGCCGCTCGCTGCGAGGAGAGCGTCGCAAGAAGGGGAGGGCGCGGGCGGGAGCTGCACGAGGGGTTGGAAAACGGGAAGCCTATTCTAGGTTAGGGACTCAAAGCGCCGCGCCGACAAGCGCTAAGAAGGGCAAGAGCAAGGACCGGGGAGGGAGCAGGCGTCGAGAAAAAACAAGCCAAGGGCCGGAAAAGCGCTGAGGGAGGCCATAAAGGGAAGATGCTCGCTAGAACCGTCTGAATAAGCCAAGGGCGGCCGAGGCCTCAGAGGAGCCACAGCCACGGCTACTCCCAGCCTCCCCGGACACCCTTCATTCTCCCGGCCGCCGCCGGTCCCTCTGAGGCGATGTCAACGCTCCCGAAGCGGACACAGCCTCCCACCAGAGACAGCTTCCCCGACTGACCGGCTTGTAGACGCCATCTTCCTTCCTCTGCGTCAACTCCAACAGGAAGGCTGTCTGGCTTCCTTTTAAGCCGAAGCTCCAGTGGGCCGAACTCGCCGAGGCCTCGGCGACGGAAAGCCGTACAGCTCAAAAAGCAGAGGATTGCGCTTTCCTTGCATCAGCGGGAGGAGGGAGAAGGAGAGGCAGTGTTGCTCCCAGTTCTGCTTTAAGGGGGTAATCTTAGGCATTTTTGCTAGGAAGTGTGGCTGATTTAGCTCGGTGGGATTTACTTTTAGTAAAGATGTTTTTACTCTTGTTGCATAGCTCTAAATTGTAGTTACGCAGTTGCGTGGGTAATATTGACGGTATTTACTTGCACATTGCATATGCATGTAATATTGCACAGAGTAATAAGGACTGCAGCGTTTGAATGCTGTTTATTTACTGGTTAAACCCAGGCAATAAAAGAGCAAAAGCAACTTGGAAGACGGGGGGGTGGGGGAATTCTAGCTTAAATTTTCCATTAACATAGTGGTTTTCCTTGCATAATATATGTTTCTATATGTGTGTGTATACTGTGTGTCTATGATAGTGCCTTTTGACTCCTGGTGACTGCCTGGACAAGTCCCTGCAGTTTTCTTGGCAAGATTTCAGAAGTGGTTTGCCATTGCCTCCTTCCTAGGGCTGAGAAAGAATGACTGGCCCAAAGTAACCCAGATGGCTTGGTGCCTAAGGTGGGACTAGAACTCACAAAAATAGCATTTAGGACGTGACCAGCATACAACATATAGACAAGACTTCATTTGACAAGAAACAACATGCTATTCCATCACATCTTCCATGGGTGAAAATGAGATCAATACTGGATTTCACTCTCCCTGCCAAACTCTTCTATGCATCCATTGTAGTACAATGGGACAGCTATTCTGGGTAAGGAAACCAGAATAGCTGGTTCCCATTCTGTAAACTTTCTTCAGCAATTCAGACACCTGTCAGTTAACGTTACCTAGTTATGAATATTTTTGGAGCATGAGCTCGCAGTAGAAGGTAAAAAATCTTGAAGAAAAATGGGGGGGGGAGTGAATTTAGAAGCTAACAATAATTTCTGAGCCTCAACATCAAATCCTTAAAAGCACAGATACATCACCAGACTAATGAAGGTTGGCAGAAAGAAGGCTGTTTATTCATCAATTAAAGTTACAAGCGTTACCAGCGTGCACTTGAAGAAAGACAAGAACTTCAGTGAAATAATATTTCAGTAGTTTTATCATACTTTCTAAAATCTTATGAGAAATAATTCAGCTCTTATCAGAGACAGTACTTTCTACTTGAATAGAAAACTACAGAGCTCTAGTGATAATTTTTTTAATATACTTTTTTTTTTTAATCAGTCCTATGAAATTCTCTGAGCAACTGTACTAAACAAAAGTGAAGGCTTAGAATTGACAGTGAAGATTTTGAAGTGGTGGAGAGCTTCTGCCTTTTAGGTTCAACCATCAACAGTAAAGGAACAAACAGTTAAGAAATACGCCACAGACTAGCACTTGGTAGAGCAGCCATGAAGTCTGTAGAAAAGATACTAAAATGCTGTAATGAGTCTATATCTACAAAGATCAGAATGGTGCAAAAGAAACAAATGGATCATCAAAAAAATCAACCCAGAGTTCTCACTCAAGGCACAAATGACCAGGCTCAAATTATCCTACTTTGGACACATTATGTGAAGATCTAGCTCTCTGGAGAAGGCTCTAATGCTGAGAAAGATGGAAGAAAAAGAACAGGTCAACCAGCAGCAAGGTAGATGGACTCAGTAACAGTAGCAATGAGTACACCGTTGGAAGAGCTGAAGGTTAGGAATAGTCATGGAGAAAATCTACCTAAGTTGCCACTAAGAGTCAACAATGACATGATGGCACATAATCAAGTTAAACACCACTAAAAATAGTAACATAACACAGTAACATACTATATAACGCAAAGTAAAAAAAAAAAATTCTAACCCTCTCTCATTGTTCTGGTAATTCAGTTTTAGAAACTAAAGTACTGAAATAAGGGATGTTGGGCCATTATTGCTTCAGGTTATAAATTTACTTAGGTCAGAGCTTACCAGGCACAACGAAAGGTACACTCATTCATTGTTTACTGAGAAATCCTACAAATATTGATAGGACTTGCTGCCCAGTGATTTGCAGGACAACATTCTTAATTCTGAGAACTCATATGCAAGACTTATCTTGTTGACCTTCCTGCAATTGGCTTTTGCTATTTTGGTGGCAGAATTAGCTAGGAGCATATGCAACTGATCTTAGTGAAACTCATGGCAGAATAAACGCATACAGTTGCATGATGGTGCAGTTTAATGCATCTGAGAGAGAGCTACATTGATTAGAATTCAAGTAACTTCTGTGTAAATATGCATATGATTGTTCTGGAAGGCCTGCAGTCCTATGCATTTTGTAAGGGCACAATGGGAAATTACTTCCAAATACAAACACATAAGAACAGGTGTATCAGCTAAATTAGGCAACCACCAGTTCCTCAGCAGATAAAGGATGGGGCAATCAAGCAATGGGAGGGAGGATCTGTGCACTGAGATGACTTCCTGCAATGGGGATTACCCCTCCTCTCACTCTGCTCTCCGGGCAATGGAACGTGGTTCCCCACGTTGTGCTTAGTCTCTTGTGCTTCTGGGCTGGCATTGGCAAATGCTTTTAATGGGACTCATTCCGAGCACTCTGCTTTCCATATCCTCCTGAAAATCAACTAGGGAGTCACCCTGTCATGGGAAAAGAGTTAACTGTCAGTCTTTAGGAACCAAACTGACCCAGCTAGATAACAGCGCTGCATATGATACAGAGCCAGTTTGGTGTAGTGGTGAAGGTGCTGGCCTAGAAACCAGGAGACTGAGTTCTAGGCCCCCCTTAGGCATGAAAGCCGGCTGGGTAAATTTGGGCCAGTCACTCTCTCTCAGCCCAACTCACCTCACAGGGTTGTTGTTGTGGGGAAAATAGGAGGCAGGAGTACTACATGTGCCTGCCTACAGTATATATAAAAAAGCGGGATATATAAAAAAGCGGGATAAAAAAATATAACAACAACATCACTACAAACCTATTTTAACATCAACATTACAAAATTTTTCCTTGCTATCTTTTTCTTCAGTTAAACAAGAAAATGAAGATATCCACTCTCATCTCTTATATTTCTGTTATGTTTAATATATTTTTGCATATTTATAAAATCAATGAAGACAAATAATCGGGTAAGATGTATGACTATATACTTTTAATGATTTGTTACATCAAATCAATTTTTCATTCCATAAAATTAGCTGACAATTCTTAACATAAGAATTATGTTATATTAATTAATTATATTCTCAAGGAATATAATTACAACATAAAATGGTAATCATTTGAAACAGCCAGTTAAGACAGATGATACATCTCATTTTGTCAACTAAAAAAAATCAAATGGCTTATCTAATTATACAAGGTGGGGAGATGAAAAACCCAGATTCTAAAGCAATCTGGCTTCTTTTTTCTAGAATAATCCATCATTAATTCTCTTACATTCTTCCTCTTACATTCTTAGCTATGTATTAGAACTATATCTGTATATATGCTTCATTTATGTATAATTTTCAACACAAAAATGCTTTGTTAAGATGAAATTTTTAATAAATTGTTTTCCACCCTGGTGTCCTCCAGACAGATTTCCATTATAAATCTCAGAACTTCAGCCAGCCTGGCTTTTACAATTTGGAGAATTTAATAAGTATTTCCTAATATTTTGAGCATGAAACTGAGCAAACTCAGGGAGGCAGTGAAGGACAGGAAGGCCTGGCGCAA